GGGTTACCCACAGTGGCTGGGGGGAGTGACCTCTACAACCCACGAAATTGCTCTGTTGGCGAATGTGATTGATGACACACCCTGGGGGGAGGGGGGGGAACAGGGTCATAATTGGGGCATAAATTATGTAGGGTCAAAGCTGGCTTCAGTTGGGAACATGCAGACATGAAGCTGCTAATAAATAACTGGATTTCTTTTGACGCTTGGCTCGAGGCTCATGATTTAATTAGGGCGTCGGTCGGAACCCTGACACAAGGGAGTTTTGCCCCATTTTAGGACCCCATTTCTTGCCACGGTTGTTAAGTGAATCCCTGCCGTTGATAAGTTAGTAACCCGGTTGTTAAGTGACTCTGGCTTCCCTATGCTGGTCAGAAAGTTGCAAAAGGGGATGACATGACCCCGGGACACAGCAACGGTCATAAGTACGTGCCAGTTGCCAAGCGTCTGAATTTTGTGTGATCGTGGGGATTCTGGGGAAGGTAGTCATTGTGAAAAATGGTACTCTACGTCACTTTTTTCTACTGATGTTATCACTTTGAATAGTCACAAAACCAACTGTTGTACGTTGAAAACTCAGGCTGTTTTCAGCACAATGATGCACCTCAGAGGGATGGAAGATCTCGCCTGTCCCTCCCCAGAATCATTCCCAGAGTGTCTTGTTGCCTTTGCCTAGAGGCTCCACATTGTTTGATCAGGCTTTGTGAATAGAAAGACGATTCGGCTGCATTCATTCATGCATATATTCTGAATAAAACTGGCTCAACATAAACTGAGCTCAACGTAAACTGAGCTGAGCTCCCCCCAGCTCTCCCCGAACAGGAGGGAAAAAGCGGCCAAAATCTGTTTGACAAACGTGGCTGCAAATGAGATATGTGGTCATTGTTTATAGACATTCAGGGACCACACTAACTATTGGGGGATGAGGGAGTGGTCAGAGAATAGTGGCCACAATTGCACGAAGGCAGCCTCCTCCTCCCCCCTTCTCCTTCTTCTCCTCTTCCTCTCCTTCTCCTCCTCCTTCTCTTTTCTTTCTCCTCTTCCTCTTCTCCTCCTACTCCTTCTCATCTCATCTCCTCCTCCTTCATTTCATCTGCTCCTCCTATTCTTCTCCAACTTTCCTCCTCCTCCCCATCCTCCTATTGTTATCCTCATTTTCCTCTTCTCCTCCACCCCTTCCTCCTATTTTACTTCTCCTTCTCTTCTCCTCCTTTCTTTTCCCCTCTTCCTGTCCTCTTGTCACCTCCCCCTCCTCTTATTCTCCTCCCCCTTCTCTCCTATTCTTATTCTCATCTTCCTCCTCCTCTTCTCCTCCACCCTTTCCTATTTTTCTTCTCCTTTTACTCCTCTTCCTCTTCTTCTCCTCCTCCCCCTCTCCTTTTCTCCTCTTCCTCCTTTTACTTTTCCTACTCTTCCTCCTCCTCTTCTCCCCTACCTCCTACGCACTCTTGGCTAGGCAACCATATCACACACCCATCTAGTTTATAGATCAGCCATTAGCTTCCTCCTGGACATTTTCTTTGATTTCCTGGTGTGGACTCCAGCTCTCACCCTGCCAAGTTTTGGGGTTCATTTTTTTTAAAAAAAGCACCCATAATTTTGAAGGTGCATTTTTGTGGCTGATGATCTATGGCCTTTCTATAACATGTTATGTTAAAAATAAAACAAGATTTGCTTCCATTTAGCCGGCTTACATGGTGCAAATCTTCAATTCTAAATAAAGATTTGCACAATGAAGAGAGATCTGAGTCCCAGTTTTGATTTCAAGAGAAATGGATCCCAGCTGGGGTCCATTTATTTATTTATTTTATTTTTAAAATAAAAAGAAACTCCCCTCCTGCTTTCCTTTGGTTGAGCATTATATTTGGGGGGGAAATAAGTCACTGTGTAGTTGGGGTTTTTTTTTATAAAATAAGTAATTCTTTTATCTATCCATAGCTAATCTTAGCTCTACTTCAAAACAGAAATTTTATTTTGGATGAGTAAACTCTGGATTAAATCGGTGACTTTTTACTGTGGACTTTGGGATATTGAACCCGTGAACCGGGCCATATCCAGATGCGTACTGGTAGTCCTCGAATTATGACCACAACAGAGCCCAAAATTTATGTGGGCTACGTGAGACCACTTGCTAAGTGAGTTTTGCCCCGTTTTACGAGCTTTTCTGCCACAGCTGTTAAGTGAATTATGGCAGTTGTTAAGTGAGTAACCCGGTTGTTAAGCGAATCTGGCTTGCCAGAAGGTCGCAAAAAGGGATCCCGTAACCCTGGGCTACAGCAACGGTTGTAAGTATGAACCAGTTGCCAAGCATCTGAATTTTGATCACATGATTCTGGGGATGCTGGAGAGGTAAGTGTAAAAAATGGTCATTAATAAGTCACTTTTTTCAGTGCTGTTGTGACTTCGGTCACTAAAAGAACTGTTGTAAATCGAGAACCCCCAAATCCCCAAAATCAGTGGGTCTGTAGCTCAAGACAGCAAGCCTGGCCTAAACCTCGTTTGGCTCCAGCCAAGTGCTTTCTCTGTATATTTTTAAGGACCCTACATTTCATTTAAATTAAATAAAAAGTTCCATTAAAAAAAAAAAATCAGATTAGGTTATTCTCTGAGAATTCTCAGCTCCATGATTTCCTTGTGGTGTCCCATCCAAATCTTACGAAGACCCAACAAGGTTCTGAGCACAAGAAAAAAACAGCACATTGTGTGTGTGTGTGTGTTTTTTTTTTTAAATTAACAAGATGGCAAACCTATGGCACACGTGCCACAGGTGCCACGCAGAGCCATATCAGTGACCACGCAATCTCAGCTCTGGTGCACATGCGCATGCCAGTCAGCTGATTTTCGGGCCTTCTGGGCCCACTGGAAGTCGGCAAACAGGCTGTTTCCAGCCTCCGGAGGGCCTGGGGGGAGGGGGGAGTGTTGACGGTAGTTTTTCGCGCTCCCCAGGCTCCAGAGCCTTTCTAGGAGCCTGGGGAGGGCAAAAACTGCCTATCTGGCCCACTGTGCCATCACATGCCAAAAGCGGGGGAAGCACGGGGGGGTCACGCATACATGCGTGGGGGCGGGGCACATAGAATTATGGGTGTGGGCACGTGTGCACCCAACATATCCTCCCACTGCCCCCCACTTTTGGCATGCGATGGCAAAAAGGTTAGCTATTACTGCACGAGGCTATATATTTAAAATCAACACTAGGCTGTATATTTAAATTTTAAAATAAAAAGAAAGAACTTGTATTGCTGGAAAAAACAGACACACTCAGCAATGTTTTTAACCGAATTCCTTACACACAGAATCTTACACAAAAATGCCCGAAGAGCCAACGAAAACAGCAACCGGAGCAGCTAATAAACCCTAAAGGCTAAAGAATCATCAACTTCCAAAACCTTGAACTTTTTCCAACATTTTCCTGACATTGTGTTGTAATCCTTAGAATAACTCGGTCCAATAGGCCAGTCTATTCATCCTAACCCAAGTTTGTTCAAGGGCAGAAAAGGAGCAGCTCCAGGCAGTCCTCGAGATACAACCAACAATGGAGCCCAAAATTTCTGTTGTTAAACTCAGACTAAGTGAGTTTTGTCCCGTTTATATTATTTATTTATTTTGGAAAATGTATATCACCACCAATTCGCTCACGGCGACTGTAGGCGGCATGCCCGAAAATGAAATACAATGTAGGGGGAAAAAAATAAAGTAATAAAAAATAATAATAAAATAATAACCCCCTCCTCAGGGGTGAAATTCAGCAGGTTCTGGAGAACCGGTAGCAGAAATTTTGAGTAGTTCGGAAAACCGGCAAATACCACCTCTGGCTGGCGCCAAAGTGGGGTGGGAATGGGGATTTTGCAATATCCTTCCCCCTGGAGTGGGGTGGGAATGGAGATTTTTGCAGTACCCTTCCCCCTGGAATGGGGTGGGAATGGAGATTTTACAATATCCTTCCTGATGGAGTGGGGAGGGAATGGGGATTTTGCAGTATCCTTCCCCCAGGAGTGGGGTGGGAATGGGGATTTTGCAGTATCCTTCTCCTGCCACGCCCACCAGGCCACGCCCACAGAACCGGTAGTGAAAAAAATTGAATTCCACCACTGCCCCTCATCCATTTTATGACCTATCTTGCCACCGTTGTTACTTGAATCACTGCAGTTGATAAATTAGTCACCCGGTTGTTAAGTGGATCTGTTTTCCCCCATGGATTCTGCTCGTCAAAAGGTCACAAAAAATGATCACGTGACACTGCAACCGTCACAAATATGAATCTGTTGCCAAGCCTCTAAATTTTGATCCCCTGACCACGGGGGGGAATGCTGCAAATAATCAGAAGTGTGAAAAATGGTCCTAACCAAGTCCCTTTTTCCCCAGTGCCGTCGTAACTTTGAAAGGTCACTCCACAAACTGTTGTAAGTGGAGGACTACCTGATCCAGATGGAGGAAATCCCTTTCGCACCCTAAGCGAAATAACAAATTTAGAAAGACACACAAATTTACCGCGAAGATTGGGGGGGGGAAATACATTCTCCGCGTCGAACCGGATTCCTTTGCAAAAAATAGATTTTTCTTTTTAATGTACCCCCCTTCCAGTGGTGGGATTCAAATAATTTAACAACCGGTTCTCTGCCCTAATGATTTCTTCCAACAACCAGTTCACCAAACTGTTCAGAAAGTTAACAACCGGTTCTCCTGAAGTGGTGCGAACCGGTTGAATCCCACGACTGCCCCCTTCTCCACTCTGAGTGGCACAAACACTCACAAAGGCACACACTGGGCTTCCTCCAACTGGGGGATTCCACTTTCGAGAAAGAAAGAAAGAAAGAAAGAAAGAAAGAAAGAAAGAAAGAAAGAAAGAAAGGAAGGAAGGAAGGAAGGAAGGAAGGAAGGAAGGAAGGAAGGAAGGAAGAGGAAGGAAGGAAGAGAAATTAAGGAAGGAAGGAAGGAAGGAAGGAAGGAAGGAAGGAAGGAAGGAAGGAAGGAAGGAAGGAAGGCAGGCTCCCCAGGCAACTTACCTGTGAGTAGCAGGAGGAAGAGGAGGAGGAGGAGGAGGCCGGCCGAGGGTCCCATCTTACATCCGAGGATATCCCAGGTAAGGCTATCTGGGCATGGCCAAGACTGGACGTCCGTCCGTTGCTTCTAGCCGAGGCATCTCAAAGGTTGCACTGTCCTCGGCACCAAAAGTCTCTCTGTGTTTCTCCCTCCTTCATCTTGGAAAATATTTTGATTGGCCACTAAAAATAAGCCCAGAAACTCAGCCTTTCCCACCCCACCGTCACTGGGATGCAACTTGTTTTTTCTTAAAAAAAAAAAAAGAGAGAAAGGAAAAACCCTGTATTTTGCAGATGCCGAAATAACAAAGCTGGACAATCCAAATTATACAGCTGGCAAGGGCCCGGAGAAGTTGCTCTGAATTGTGGAGATGCAAACTAAATTAAAAAAAAAAATAGAAGCTTCATCATTCCTTTTTTTAAAAAAAAATTCAACTCCAGCGAAACTTTTACTTCTGATCGTAGACCAAAGCAACGTACGTGTCTAATGAATTATCTCTACGATTTATTCGTATTTAGAAACTGCCGGGCAGAAGACGGCAAAGAGATTTAACAACTCTGGAGCGGGTCTCAAATTTCAGACTTCGCCACTCAAATGCACAATTGACGGGGACGTTAACCATCAACAAGGAGTTAATATACAGAGATAATGAGCTAAAATTTAATTCGAAGTTAAAACTGTATTGATATATTAGATTTGTCTAGATGAAAGTGTTAGAATTTTATGTTTAAATTTGTTTTTTGTTTTTTTTCCGCTGTTTTAAATTTTTAAAAGATGTAATAGAGAAGTGGAATAGAGCGTGTTAAAAGAATGTAAGCATGTTAAACCATCTATGACCGGATTGAAACTCTGTTCTTGAAAGTTACATTTTATGTTTATGTTTGGGAAAAAATAAAAAAATATTTACAAAAAAAAAACAAAAAACCAAGAAGTTAATTGTTCATAATAAACATATATTCTCCAAAGGGCCTGAAGACAAGATGAGAAACAGTGGGATGTAAAGTAACCAAGGAGAGAAACAACCTAGAATTAAGGAGAAATTTCCGGACAGTGAGAACACTTACCCAGTGGAACTGCTTGCCACCAGAAGTTGTGGGGGCGCCATCACTGGAGATTTTAAAGAAGAGATCTGACAGCCATTTGTCTGAAATGGTGTGGGGTCTCCTGCCTGAGCAGAGGGTTGGACTAGAAGACCTCCAAGGCCCCTTCCAACTCTGTTATTCATAACCAGAAAGAAAATTATCAGTTGTAACACTAATATATCGTTAATAACAGTGGTGGAATTCAATTTTTTTTTTTACTACCGGTTCTGTGGGCATGGCTTGGTGGGCATGGCAGGGGAAGGATATGCAAAATCCCCACTCCACCCTACTCCTGGAGGAAGGATACTGCAAAATCCCCATTCCCTCCCCACTCCTGGGGGAAGGATACTGCAAAATCCCATTCCCTCCCCACTCCTGGGGGAAGGATACTGCAAAATCCCCAATCCCTCCCCACTCCAGAGGGAAGGATACTGCAAAATCCCCATTCCCTCCCCACTCCTGGGGGAAGGATATTGCAAAATCCCCACTCCCACCCTACTCCTGGGGGAAGGATACTGCAAAATCCCCATTCCCTCCCCACTCCTGGGGGAAGGATACTGCAAAATCCCCATTCCCTCCCCACTCCTGGGGGAAGGATACTGCAAAATCCCCATTCCCTCCCCACTCCTGGGGGAAGGATACTGCAAAATCTCCATTCCCACCCCACTCCTGGGGGAAGGATACGGCAAAATCCCCATTCCCTCCCCACTCCTGGGAGAAGGATACTGCAAAATCCCCATTCCCTCCCCACTCCAGGGGAAGGATATTGCAAAATCTCCATTCCCACCCCACTCTGCGACCAGCCAGAGGTGGTATTTGCCGGTTCTCCGAACTACTCAAAATTTCCGCTTACCAGTTCTCGAGAACCTGTCAGCACCTGCTGAATAGCACCTCTGGTTAATAATATATTGATTGAAATAGTTACTTGATACCTTTCGGATCTAACTTGTACATAAAATTTAGCTCTGGGATTAGGGTCTATCAGGATCAGAACTCTGAACTTAAAATAAATAAAGTGCCATCTCAAATTCCTGCTCTTAGCTTCAGGGATGGGCAATTTTTTTGCTCTCCGGGGGACAATATTTTTCGAGGGGGAGGCAAAACTTGTTGTGCTATAAATCGAATGTGGCACATCACAGAAATGGGTGAAATAAACAGTTTCAGCCTTTGTTATGTTTCAGTTGTTGTGTGAAGAAGAAAAAAAAAGTTTTTCGGGTGGGTGGGTGGATGGGATATCTGACTACCTGGAGCCCCCCCTCTCTCAAATCGGACTTCGAAAAGTTGAGCTTCAGCATAACCGGCTTAGGGCATTTTAAGTTTTAGAATTACCTAATTGGTTGAGCCTCCCTTCCAGTTTTCAGCCAAAATCAACTAAATAAGGTAAGTTAAATTGAAAGATCTCACAAAATCCCCTTTTAATGAGGGGCTGGGCTGGGAGTTGGAGAGGGCATTTCCTGCATTAACAGTGGAGCTGCCAGGGATGCAGGTGGCAGCAAGGAACAGAAATCGTGCCAGGCACTGGGTGCCCACGGAGGCTCCACCCAAGCAGGCAGGCAAGGGTCCCTTGAGGGAAAGGATGGGGGTCCAGAGAATTTAGGGATAATAAGGGTGTCCTTAGCACCAGTGGACTTAAAATTAGCATCCCTTAAACCAGGGGTGAAATCCAGCAGGTTCTGACAGGTTCTGGAGAACTGGTAGCGGAAATTTTGAGTAGTTCGGAGAATCGGCAAATGCCACCTCTGGCTGGCCCCAGAGAGGGGTGGGAATGGGGATTTTGCAGTATCCTTCCCCCAGGAGTGGGAGGGAATGGGGATTTTACAGTATCCTTCCCCCTGAAGTGGGGTGAGAATGGAGATTTTGCAATCTCCTTCCCGCTGGAGTGGGGTGGGAATGGAGATTTTGCAGTATCCTTCCCCTGCCACGCCCACCATGCCATGCCCACAGAACCGGTAGTAAAAAAATTTCAATTCCACCACTGCCTTAAACCCCACCCCACCCCAATTAAAAATGCAAAATTGTTTTGATCCCCACAAGAGACAGATTTCGTAGCACAGGACAGATGCGAAACCATAGCAGTTTAGTTTTCTGACTCTGTCACTCAAATTTCATGACATGCAGTACAGATAAGTCCTCAACTTTCAACTGTTTAGTGACCGCTCAAAGTTACAATCACACTGAAATAAAGAACTTATGACCGTTTTTCAGACTTACGACTATTACAGCATCTCCCATGGCCATGTGATCAAAATTCAAACACTTGGCAACTGACTCATATTTATGATGGTTGCAAATGTCCTGGGGGTCCCCTTTTTGCAAACTTCTGACGGCCAGATTCGCTTAGTAACGTGACACCTGCAGTGATTCACTTTAACAAGGAAGGTTGTAAAACGGGGCCCAATTCACTTAACAAATGTCTCCCTTAACTCCATTGTGGTTGTTAAGTCAAGGAACTATCTGCATTTGCACTTTTTTGACACTCGTCAAATATGTGCGATTTGGAGAAAATGGCAGAGCCACAAAACTGATCACAAGATCCGACATTAAAGAGCTCATTTAAAACCATAACAAAAACCCAACACCTTCCAAATTCCTACTTACATGTTGAACTGAATTTGAAGTCTGCAAGCTTTTAAGTAACACAGGTCTCTTCGCCATACGGGGCTGCTTCCAGGTTTGAAGAAAGTCTCTTGAGCAGGTGTGAAATCCAGCAGGTTCTGACAGGTTCTGGAGAACCGGTAGCGGAAATTTTGAGTAGTTCGGAGAACCGGCAAATACCATCTCTGGCTGGTCCCAGAGTGGGCAGGGAATGGGGATTTTGCAATATCCTTCCCCCAGGAGTGGGGAAGGAATGGGGATTTTGCAGTATCCTTCCCCCTGAAGTGGGGTGGGAATGGAAGATTTTGCAATATGCTTCCCGCTGGAGTGGGGTGGGAATGGAGATTTTGCAGTATCCTTCCCTCTGGAGTGGAGTGGGAATGGAGATTTTGCAGTATCCTTCCCTCTGGAAGTGGAGTGGGAATGGAGATTTTGCAGTATCCTTCCCCCTGGAGTGGAGTGGGAATGGAGATTTTGCAGTATCCTTCCCTCTGGAGTGGAGTGGGAATGGAGATTTTGCAATATCCTTCCCAGAGAGTAGGGAGGGAAATGGAGATTTTGCAATATCCTTCCCCCAGGAGTGGAGGGAATGGGGATTTTGCAGTATCCTTCCCCTGGATGGGGTGGGAAAGGGGATTTTGCAGTATACTTCCCCTGCCATGCCATCAAGCCATGCCCACAGAACTGGTAGTAAAAAAAATTGAATTTCACCACCGCTCTTGGGGGATAACTTCTGCTTACCAAAAGAAAGCAAAGATTCTTTTTTTAAAAACACACACACACACACTTGTGTTTTTCATTTGTGTGTGTGTGTGTGTGGTTTTTTTTTTTTGCTGACCAGCTTTAGTATTTTATCCTCAAATTGCAAAATTCCTGTGCAGGAGAGGAAAAAAAAATTGTTTTGAAGATTTTTTTTGGTGGAATTCAAGCAGCAGCTCTGTGCAACTGGAACCCTGAATTAGGAATTTGCCACAAAGCGCAGATCTTGAGCAGCAGGTCAGGTCTTGAACCAATTTATTTTTCTTCCAAATTCAAGTCCAGCCCAATCCCAATCCCCATCTCCCTCTCTTTTTTTATGAGGGATATTTGGGAGAGATAAAAGTTTTGGTAAGTCAACCTCAGCCATTTCTTCACTTCTCCACCCCTCGGCAGGGCCATACTGGACTTCCCCCTTGTTTTGGGTCATTTTGGGGGGGGGGGGGGGCTCAGAGGCCTCCTTGGTTTGAGTCTAGAGCAGAATAAGGGGTCCCAACAGTGGTGAAATGTTAAATTTGTTACTACTGGTTCTGTGGCGTGGCTTGATGGGGGGTAATATGACTAAGTGGGCATGGCCAACTTTTCTTTTTTTTTTTTACTTTTAAAATCATTTTTTCTACAATCTCTTCGGCTGAAGAGGTTGTAAAAAAAATGCTTTTAAAAGCCTCTGATGATCCCAGCTGACTTGCCTGATCGGCAGAGGCTTTCTTTCTTTTTTTTAAAGCCTTTGATGATCCCAGCTGAACCGCGCGATTATTATTATTATTTATTGAATTTCTATACCGCCCTACTCCCAAAGGACTCAGGGCGGTGTACAGCCATGAAATAAAACACATAGATATACAAAATTTAAAATCAAATAAAATGAATTAAATAAATTTGGCTGAATTAATACCCATAATTTAAAATACCCATAATTTTAAAATACATTAAAAATTTAAAATTTACACTTAAAAGGGAGAAGATTTAGGCGAGGCCCGCTTGATGAAATAAAAGCGTCTTCAACTCGCGGCGGAAGGTGCGCAGATCCGGGATCCTCCGTATCTCTGGGGGAGCTCATTCCAGATCGTCGGTGCCCCCACAGAGAAGGCTCTCCCCCTAGGGGCCGACAGCCGACATTGTTTGGCCGACGGCACCTGGAGGAGCCCTTCTCTGTGGGAGCGTACTGGTCGGTGGGAGGCTGTTGGTGGTAGTAGGCGAATGAAAAGACCAGTTCTTCCAGATACAGGAAATTAAATTAAATGATACATCCTGAATATCCTTGGAGATATTGTAGGACTGTAATAACTGGAAAATCTTATATGCATATTCTTATTCTTTTTTTTGGCTACAGACACATATCAATTGACAGCATGCAGTAGTGTCTTTTCCAGTCATTTTTCACAGTGGCTGCTACTGGACTTCCCCCTTGTTTTGGGTCATTTGGGGGGGGGGGCTTCAGAGGCCTCCTTGGTTTGAGTCTAGAGCAGAATAAGGGGTCCCAACAGTGGTGAAATGTTAAATTTGTTACTACTGGTTCTGTGGCGTGGCTTGATGGGGGGGTAATATGACTAAGTGGGCATGGCCAACTTTTCTTTTTTATTTTTACTTTTAAAATCATTTTTTCTACAATCTCTTCGGCTGAAGAGGTTGTAAAAAAAATGCTTTTAAAAGCCTCTGATGATCCCAGCTGACTTGCCTGATCGGCAGAGGCTTTCTTTCTTTTTTTTAAAGCCTTTGATGATCCCAGCTGAACCGCGCGATCATCAGAGGCTTTTTTTTTTTAACTTTTAAAAGCATTTTTTCGGCCAAAGAGGTTGTAGAAAAAATGCTTTGAAAAGTCTCTGATGATCCCAGCTGAGTTGCCTGATCGGCAGAGGCTTTTCAAAGCATTAGAAAAAATGCTTTGAAAAGTTAAAAAAAAAAAAAGTTGGCCACGCCCATCACATTAACCCCCCCCCACCAAGCCATGCCCACAGAACCAGTAGAAACACATTTTACATTTCTCCCCTGGGTTAGACTAGAAGACCTCCAAGGTCCCTTCCAACTCTGTTATTATCATTATGATAGGTAGGCCTCGAGATACAACCACAATTGATCCCGACATTTCTGGGGGAAGCCAGATTCACTTAACAACCGTGTTACTAACTGAACAACTGCAGTGATTCACTTAACAGCTGTGACAAGGAAGGTCGTAAAAAGCTCACTTAACGAACGTCTCACTTAGCAAGAGGCTCCATTTATGGTCATAAATAGAGGACTACCTATAGTTGGGATTATTCCTAGAATGATCCTCAATCAATCCCAATATTTTATCCACCACTGCCACCTGCTGGACATTTAGCGGCATCGCATATTTATATTTTATTCTCTTTTTAGAAAGAGATGCGGAGTCAGGCTCACAGTACAGGATGCTGGCACTCGCATGTCATAGTAATTAGCAATAGCAATTGCACTTAAGATTTATATCCCGCTTCACAGTCCTTTACAGCCCCCTCTAAGCAGATTACAGAGTCACAATCTGGGTTCTCATTTTACTGACCTGGGAGGGATGGAAGGCCAAGTCAATCTTGAGCTGGTCAGGATCGAACTGCTCGCAGTGGGCAGAATTAGACTGCAATGCTGCATTCTAACCACTGGGAAGGAAGGAAGCCAGCAAGGAATAGCACTTAGACTTATATAGCGCTTCACAGTGCTTCATCTACTGACCTCAGAAGGATGGAAGGCTGAGTCAATCTTGAGCTGGTCAGGATCGAACTTCTAGCAGTGGGCAGAATTAGCCTGCAATTCTGCATTCTAACCACTAGGAGGGAGGGAGGGAGGGAGGGAGGGAGGGAGGAAGGAAGGAAGGAAAGAAGGAAGGAAGATAGCAATAGCACTTAGACTTATATAGCGCTTCACAGTGCTTCATTTACCGACCTCAGAAGGATGGAAGGCTGAGTCAATCTTGAGCTGGTCAGGATCGAACTTCTGGCAGTGGGCAGAATTAGCCTGCAATTCTGCATTCTAACCACTGGGGGGGGGAAAGAAGGAAGGAAGGAAGAGCACTTAGACTTATATAGCGCTTCACAGTGCTTCATTTACCAACCTCGGAAGGATGGAAGGCTGAGTCAGCATCGAACTGCTGACCGTCGGCAGAGTTTAGCCTGCAATGTTGCCTTCTAACCACTGCGCCACCACAGCTCTTAAATTAAAACCATTGCAAAATGCTCAACATTTCAGAGAAAACACAACAGAGACAAAACGACAATTTTAAAAAACTTTTAATTATAAAAGCGTAAGTTGAGGACTAGCTGTATTTCCATACAAAATTTACTGTTTAGCTAAAAATGACAGCTTCACCCATCAATAAAAAGTCCTAAATTGTCCTGGTTTACGGCACTAGAGAAAAAAACAACAACACTTGGATATGACTGTGACCCAGGAAAAACGTAACATATTCCACATTTTATTCTATTTTTTAAATTTTGTATTGTATGTGTTTTTATTGTTTGGCTGTGCACCGCCCTGAGTCCTTCGGGAGTAGGGCGGTATAGAAATCTAATAAATAAATAATAATAATAATAATAATATTCCTCTCTAGAGTTGAATATTTGAACAGCTAGTCCTAAACTTTCGACCGCAATGAAACCGAAAATTTATCTTACTAAGTGAGAAATTTGTTAAGTCAGTTTTGCCCCGTGTTACGACGTTTCTTGCCACAGTTGTTAAGCGAATCGCTGCAGTTCTTAAACCAGTAACAAGGCTGTTAGGGGAATTTGGTTTGCCACGATTCATAGCTTCTCAGTACTATATTCTGAGAAACAAATGTGCAACATTGGCAAGGGTTTCTAGCATGCTCCCCTCCACCTTAATTTAACAGGTTAACAGAGTTGGAAGGGACCTTGTAGGTCATCTAGTCCAACCCCCTGCCCAAGCAGGAGACTCTACACCATTTCTGACAGATGGCAGTCCAATCTCTTCTTGAAAGTATCAAATGATAAAGCTCCCACAACTTCCGAAGGCAACTTCTCTTCCATGGGTTGATTGTTCTCACTGTCAGAAAATTCCTCCTTATTTCCGGGTTGAATCTCTCCTTGGTCAGTTTCCATCCATTCTTCCTTGTCTGGCCTTCAAATGCTTTGGAAAATAGCTTGACCCCCCTTCCTCCTCTCTGGGGCAGCCCCTCAAATACTGGAAGATGCTCTCCTGTCTCCCCTGGTCCTTCTCTTCCCTAGACTAGCCCTGCCCAGTTCCTGCAACCATTCATGTTATGTTTCAGCCTCCAGTCCCCTCATCATCCTGCTTGCTCTTCTCTGCACTTTTTCTAGAGTCTCAACATCTTTTTTATAGTGTGGTGCCCAGTTCCTACAATTGTTCGTCCTGTGTTTTAGCCTCCAATCCCCTAATTTGGACTAGATGACCTCCAGGGTTCCTTCGAATTCTGTTATTCTGTAATTCAGTAACCTTGAGCACATGGGAATGGAAAACCAGAAAGAGTTAAAATGAGTGGAATTCCCCCCGACAGGCTGGTTCTACACAACACACTTAACCCGGGTCTAAATTAAACCAGTTTTGAGGATTGCGGATGACATGTTGGACCCTAAACTAAACCAGTCTCAACAAAGATTCAAACAGCAAAATAAGCCCATCCCGTAGGCCTTTTTTGGCATGCTGTGAGAACTCAGTCACAGCGATTCACAAACCATGGTTTACAGCTCGAGCGTTCTCTATGAATCCAGCCATTGCGGCTTCCTGAATAAACCACGATCAAACATATCACTAGACACAAACTCGGCTGTTAAATTCTGAAGGTTCCTGTTGGCTTAAACTGAAGTCCTGTTTAACACGCTGGGACACAATCTGCATTAGCCAAATTATCCATTCTGAGGTTGTCGTCAGCCATGCCGTTTTTTCTCCAAGTCACATCGCCTGGATCCTCCTTTCGGTCCGTCTTGATTACCTCGGCCTTCCCCAGGACGGACGTCAGCTGCACCCAGAAGAAGGCCTGGCGACCGGGCTCCGAAGGCCACTCTAAGTATGTCTTTTTGCTGAGCATTTTCCTCAGTCGGCAAAACTTGTTGGGCAGCGCTTGCGGGTCGATGGCTTCCTTCACCACCAAAACTACGTCCTCGAAGCTTAGCCCCACCGCCCGCTGGTGGGCGAAGTAGAGCTCGTAGTTGCACCAATCGCTGTCGACAAAGCTGCGCGAGAGCACGAAGATGATTTTCCGGCTGTTTTCAATGTTTTCAATGATATTGTCGATGATCCAACGGCCGGGCGTGAAATCCCGCTCGTGAATGCAGATGCGGTATGGCGGCGTCGAGGCCTCCAACCTCTGGAGCAGTTCCTGCCTGACCCAGTCTGCGTCGGAGCAGCTGTAAGAGATGAAGGCGTGGTAGGCGAAGTCTCGCAACGCTTGGGAGCGGCTGGAGCGATATTTGGAGCGCACGATTTGGACGGTGGCCTTGAGGTACCAGGGTACGTTGAACCACCAACACAAAACCATGACGACGATCACCACAACGGCTGTAATGGAGACAGCAATGGCTACCACCACCATGACACTACACTGGGTCAGCCTTGGGGTATAAGCAATCACCGCCGTATCGCGCAGGGGCTCAGGGTGATAACAGGTCCACCCGCCGGGCCAGTCCACAATCTGCAACTTGTCGTTCTTCAGGGTCTCTTGAAGGAAGGCGTAGAGGTCACAGACGCAATGGTAAGGATTGTTCCCCGCTTCCAGCTGCGTGAGCTGCGGCATATTCACGAAGGAACCTTTGCAGATGACGCCGAAGGAGTTGCCGTCCACGGCCAAAACCCGGAGATTCGGACTCCTCCATTCGGTTGGGATAAACTTGATCTTGTTCCCGCTCAGCCGCAACTCTTGGAGGTCCACAGCGACCTCAAAGTACTCCATCTCAAGGCGTTCCAACTGTGAGTAGGACAAATCCAGGAACTGCAACCTGGTGGGAAGGCACTTGAAGATCCCCGCCGTGACAACGTTGTAAGACAAATCCAACCAAACAAGACTGGGGCTCCAAACACAGGGCAATTCCTTACAGTTCCTGATTCGATTGTGGCTTAGATCTAACTTGGATAGCCGGGGCCAGCTGGACGTCAGCTTGGAGATTATGCTCAAGTAGGTTAATTCGTTGTTGCTAAGATTGAAGTGCTCCAGGCTGGGCATGATTCCTTGATATAAACAGCCTTCGTTGTAGATGTATTCATCTAACAAGCGGTTATTAGAAACATCTAGAACTACCACGTTCCTCATTTCCCCCCAGGCGTCACAGGGCACAAAGTTGAAGTTGACATTGAGGATAGAAAGGTTGGTTATCCCGGCAAACCAAGTAAAAGTCCAGTCAAAACGCAAAATATCGGGGTTACTGATGTCCTTCAGCAACAAACGGCGGAGGGTCAGGTTGGCGATGCCGGCTTCTGGAAGCTTCCATTCGGGAGACCGGGCGAAATCGATAGCAATGAAGGAGAGGTCTTGCACACGAGACTTCTGGACATTTAAGAGGACCAAACGCAGCAGGTTCTCGTTGAATTTCCCCCTGTAGAAGACCAGCTCTCCCACTTCGACCTCAGCCAAGCCGGCAAAGAGGTCTACGGAATCGGTGTAGTAGGTGAACTCGAAGAGGTTACGGAAACGGAGGTATTGGAGCTGCTTCCCTTTCAAGTCACGGAGCATAACGGGCAAAGCCTCCGGGTTTTTGTCCAGAGCGATGTCGCACCACAATTCTGTGGTGTTGAGCTTAGAGAAGGCCCCTTGTTGATACTCTGTCAAACTGGAAGCAGTTTTGAGGAAAAACTTCTTCAACGGAATGTCCTTCAGAGGAACAAAGTCTTCACGTCCCACCGTGTAAATTACAGGACCGCCCAGGGACAACTCTTTGAGGTTCTTCAGGGAGCTGAACACCCCGTCCAGCCTTGAGAGAGGATAAAGGTTGTTCGAGATAGACAAGGCAGTCAGCTGCTTCAAAGGCCTCAAAGCCAGTGAAGGGATCTCCTCCAAGGAGTTGTTGAAGAGACTCAACTTCTCCAAAAGGAGGTTGGATGCGAAGGAGTCGTTGGCGATTGAGAAGATGTGGTTGTAACCCAGGTCCAATTCTTTCAGCTGAGTCAAGGACGAGAAGTCTGCCGAACCGATCTGTTCGATTTTGTTGTAGGAAAGGTCCAACTTCTCCAGATTGCTGGGAAGGTCCTGAGGGACTTGGAGCAGCTTCTGACCTCGGCATGGAGCGACTGTGTCGGAGACAATCTGGCAAGGAGATGTCGTCACGGGATGCTGGGCCCGACCCAGGAATACCAAGCACAGAACTAGGATGAGGCCGGCCGATGGCAATGGTCCCATGCCACTTCTTTACATTTTTTAGTTCTTCTTTCCTAGGTAGGGAGAAAAAAAAAAAATCAAAATTGATGGCAGGCCATTTGGGTTTTCCCCAGGGAGAAAAATCTTGTTGTGGTCCACCAGCAGCCCGCGGAGCTAGCAGCGGAGTCCAACAGTGAGGAGGCTGGGGAGGATCATGGGTCAGTCCTGGAGGCTGGGGAAGGCCCGGATGAGAGCTCTGCGTCGAAGGCAGAGATGGGGCCAGGGCCATCTGGGAGTGATGCGCGGACTCCGCAGCCTCCAGAGTCAGACACCAGAGAGGCAGAGGAGCCTGTTCCTAGTGCACGCATGCGCAGAGCTGCCAGAAAGCAAGAGCAGCTAAAGCAAAAAGGACGACTTGGGAGTAAGGCCAGGAGATGATTGGCTCCTCCCATAAGGCTTAAAAGAGCAGCAAAGGCTCTTGGGCTTTTTGTAGGAAAGCAATGTTGCTAAATCTATTTCCAGTCAGTGTCTCGTTTCTGAACTTTGTGGGGCTTTGCCAAGAAAGGCCTTTGGCAGGGTGCCAAAGAAGATAAAGGTTTGTAATATGCCCGAAGGACTTTTTCCGAAGGACTTGTTTTGGAATTAATTTGGACTAATTTGGAATGAATTACTTCATTCCCAGCTGTTATAATAAAATAAGTTTGTTTAAGATTAATTGTGTCTGGTAATGCCTAATTGAGCCTCGGTCACAACAAATCTTCCCTTCCATCTTTCTCTCACAATCATGATTACTGTTCTGACCTATGCTTCCCCAAAAAGCCTGAAGCAGAATCCTGGTCCTAACAAAACCCCGTTTATTAAATGAATGTGAATTCCTCTCATTCACCTTCAGCAAAGGCCTGGCAAACAGTCTTTCAAAGGTGAATTTATGACCACAGGCCTTATCTCGCTTGGAAAGCTGCCAAGGAAAGACTTGGCACAGAGTCTCTGAGATTCACAGACAGATCTTCACACTCCTAAACTGACCGACCGACCGACCAAACAAATTGTTTTCTGCAAAAGCCCACTCTCCTTTCGCTCCTCTTTTATGTCCATTCATCGTTCACCTGTGGCTTTACTCCCAAGTCGACCCTGATTTCTTAGCTCTTCTTTTCTTCTGGCAGCTCTGCGCATGCGCACACTGGGAACAGGCCCCAGCTATTCCTCTGCCTCACTGCTCCCTAGCTCCGGAGGCAGCTGATAACTACCAGATGGCCCTGGCCCCCTCTCTGCCTCCGATGTAGAGCGCTCGTCCGAGCCTTCCCCAGCCTCCCCCTGTTCCTCTGCCTCTCTGGTGTCCAACTCTGGAGGCTCCGGAGTCTGCACATCACTCCCAGATGGCCCCGGCCCCATCTCCGCCTCCGACGCAGAGCCCTCGTCTGGGCCTTCCACAGACTCTAGGACTGGCCCATGTTCCTCCCCAGCCTCCTCAATGTCCGACTCCGCTGCTAACTCCACTGGCAGACCACAACAATTACGTTCAGTGAAAATAAAGGATCACACTGGTTATTAAGGAACAGTAGGGTGGCAGATACTGTTCACAGAACTGTCAGAACTTCAAAACCTGGTCATTTTGAGATGGGGGAAAGCTTTAAAAGAGGGAAATGGGTCCGTTGCAAAGCTTGAGGTTTTCTTTGAACAACTCAGGATACAAAACAAAAACGCAAGAAACAGGGAGCTTGGCAAACACCTGGGGCCGTAAAAGAGATGTTGGGAGACCTGCGATGGCCATCTATTCCCAACTCTGCGACAAGGATGGACGTCATTTGCCAAAACGCCGAGCAGGTCTGTTTTATGAGCCAGAAAAGGGCCCTCAATCCAGCTGGCATAGCAGCAACCGCCTGCTAAAAAGGTAATTTTGCGCCAACTCAGAATGCGAAGACTGCCCAAGGAGCCACTGATCCAGTTCTACAGAGGAATTGTTGAGTCTGTCATCTGCACCTCCATAACTGTCTGGTTTGGCTCTGCAACCCAACAAGGCAGACACAGACTTCAGAGGATAATCAAAATTGCGGAAAAAACCATGGCTACCCACCTGCCTTCCATTGAGGACCTGTATACTGCACGAGCCAAAAAGAGGGCTGGGAAAATATCTACAGACCCCTCGCATCCTGGACATAAACTGTTTCAACTCCTACCCTCAAAATGATGCTATAGAGCACTGCACACCAGAACAACTAGACACAAGGACAGTTTTTTTCCCAAATGCCATCACTCTGCTAAACAACTAATTCCCTCAACACTGTCAAACTACTAAGTCTGCATTATTACTACTGATATAATCCTTCTCATTTTTTCTCCTATTCCTATTTCCTTATTCTTCTTTCGACTATAGCTTTGTTGCTTGTATCTTATGATTTATATTGACTATTTAAATATCCTAGTATGATTTAGTACGTTGATTGCTTATTTAGTATCCGATGGCTATCAGTGAGTGTTGTATCTTATGATTTACAGTCATTGTATTTTACGATTACGATCATGATTTATCACTTTTTTGTTGTATGTACACTCTGAACTTCTGAAACCGAAAATAAATTCTTTGTGTGTCCAATCACACTTGGCCAATAAAGAATTCCCTTCCATTTCATTCTATAATTCTGTTCCATTCTATAGTAATATTCTCTTCTATAATAATCTTCTCTTTTCTATAATAATCTTCTATTCTCTTCCCTTCTCTTCTTTTCTTCCCCTCCCTTTCCTTTCTCTTCTCTTCCCTTCTCTTTTCTCTTCCCTTCCCCTTCCCTCTTCTCTTCCCTCTTCTCTTCCTTCTCTTCTCTTCCCTTCTCTTCTCTTTCCTTCCCCTTCCCTCTTCTCTCTCTTCCCTTCTCTTCTCTTTCCTTCCCCTTCCCTCTTCTCTTCTCTCTTCCCTTCCCTTCCCTCTTCTCTTCTCTTCCTTCTCTTCTCTTTCTTTCCCTCTTCTCTTCCCTTCTCTCTTCTCTTTCCTTCCCCTTCCCTTCTTTTCTTTCCTTCCCCTCCCCTTCCTTTCTTTTCTCCTCCCTTCCCTCTTCTCCTCCCTTCCCTCTTTTCTCCCTTCCCTCTTCTCTTCTCCCTTCCCTTCCCTTCCCTCTTCTCTTCTCCCTTCCCTTCCCTCTTCTTTCCTTCCCCTTCTCTCTTCTTCTTTTTCCTTTCTCTCCCCTTCCTCTTCTCTTCCCTTCCCTTTCCCTCCTCTTCTCTCTTACCTTCCCTTCCCTCTTCTCTCTTCCCTTCTCTCTTTCCTTCCCCTTCCTTCTTCTCTTCCCTTCCCTTCCCTCTTATCTTCTCTAATACTACTCTACTCTATTTTAATTACTCTACTCCACTCCACTCCACTCTTTCCTCGTGAGCTGCTCTGCCCTGGCAGGAGAATCCCAAGAGACACTTCAGAGGCTGGCTTGTCCCCAAAGGGGCAAAGTTTATCCCTGCTTGTTTGCTAAAGCCAAGATCATGTTTACAACAGGCAGGGCAAGATTCGCTTCCAAGTCCTGAGCAATCTTCCAGGCAGTGAACAATGGGAGATTATTGAGCCTGACCTCAGCTCCAGAAACTCCGAAACCAATAGTGAGAGATTCTGTCATCTTTGGCTACTGGAGGAGGGTGGGAGGAGAGGAAACAGCAATAGCAATATAGTCCTTAGACTTGTATACCGCTTCACAGTGCTTTCCAGCCCTCTCTAAGCGGTTTACAGAGTCAGCCTCTTGCTCCACCAACAATCTGGGTCCCTGTTTTACCAACCTCGGAAGGACGGAAGGCAACCTTGAGCCAGTCAGGATCAAACTCCTAGCAGTGGGCAGAGTTAGCTTGCAATACTGCATTCTAACCACAGGGAGGGAGGGAGGGAGGGAGGGAGGGAGGGAGGGAGGGAGGAAGGAAGGAAAGCAAGCTGGGAAGGAAGGAAGGAAGGAAGGAAGGAAGGAAGGAAGGAAGGAAGGAAGGATAGCTGGGAAGGAAGGAAGGAAGGATAGCTGGGAAGGAAGGAAGGAAAGCGAGGGAGGGAGGGAGGAAGGATAGCTAGGGAGGGAGGGAGGAAAACTAGGAAGGGAGGGAGGAAGGAAGGCTAGGAAGGAAGAAAAATAGCACTACCACTTAGATTTATATCCCGCTTCACATGGCTTTACAGCCCTCTCTAAGCAGTTTACAGAATCAGCCTATTGCCCCCAACAATCTGAGTCCTCATTTTACCCACCTCGGAAGGACGGAAGGACGAGTCGACCTTAAGCCGGTCAGGATCAAACTGCTGGCAGTCGGCAGAGTCAGCCTGCAATACTGCCCTCTAACCACTGTGCCACTATGGCTCCTCAGGGGGCACTGAGTATGTGTTGGGGGTAGAGATGAGAAAGAGGGAGGGAGAAGTGACAGGCTTGATGGAAGCCAGAGATGTGAGGAATGCAGACTGGTTTCAGTCTTTAAGGCCATGAAAGTTGGGAATGGAATGAGAATTGCATCAAGCACCCAAGAGGGTTCCCAAAATAGGTAGGCAAAATAACTAGGTGGCACACCGTTGGGTGTATCTAGTTTAATGGAGAGAAGGACGAGGGGAGACATGAGAGCAATCTTCCAATATCTCAGGGGCTGCCCCAAAGAAGAAGGAGTCAAGCTCTTCTCCAAAGCACCTGAGGGCAGGACAAGAAGCAACGAGTGGAAACTAATCAAGGAGAGAAGCAACCTGGCATTAAAGGAGAAACTGCCTGACAATAATAAACAATTAACCCGTGGAACTGCTTGCCACCAGAAATTGTGAATGCTCCAAACGCTGGAGGTTTTTAAGAAGAGCCTGAATAAGCCATTTGTATAGAATTTATAGGGTCTCCTGCTTGAGCAGGGGGTTGGGCTAGAGGACCTCCAAGGTCCCTTCCGACTCCGTTATTCTATTTTGTTCTGTCCGTAGGCGGACGATGAATTGGTCAAGAGGGAAGGGACGGGATGAAGGGGCAAAGTTTGTAAACTTCTGTGCGGGAACTTTATTTATTTATTTATTTTATTTATTTATTTATTGCGATTTATATGCCGCCTTTCTCCCTAGGGACTCAAGGCGGCTTACAAATGACAACTTCAATACAAATCACAATACAATACCAAATTAAAATCAGTAACCCAATTAAAAAACGATTTAAAATTATACCAGTGTACCCCCAAATGGATCAGTTTATTCCTAACCTTGCTTCGTTTGCGACCGCTAATCCTTAGTAAAAGAATCTCTCACTGCAACCAAATGGGAGTCGAGGGTTTTTCCTTTCTAAGGTCCCAGCTGAGGCAGGTCTGACAGTTCCTGGGAAACAGTTTAGAAATATCTGGAGTGCCATAGAGCTTGGAGCAGAAATACCCAAATAGTTTTTGCCTTCGTAGACGATTAACTGCTGACAATGGGAAGCTAATTCTCAAAGGTACACCATGTTTTGCCCCACCTACAGTCCTAGTTTAGCAACAGTTTACAGTTAGTCCTCGACTTACAGCAGTTCATTTACCGTGTTTCCCCGAAAATAAGACCCTGTCTTATATTTTGTTGAACCCTGAAATAAGCGCTTGGCCTTATTGCCATGCACTCAAAAGCCCGATTGGGCTTATTATCAAGGGATGTCTTATTTTGGGGGAAACAGGGTATCTATCTATCTATCTATCTATCTATCTATCTATCTATCTATCTATCTTCTAGATAGATAGATGGATACCCTTTTCCCCCCTGATAGGACACCCCCTGATAAGACACCCCCTGATAATAAGCCCAATCAGGCTTTTGAGTGCATGGCAATAAGGCCAAGCGCTTATTTCAGGGTTCAAAAAAATAGAAGACAGGGTCTTATTTTCAGGGAAACATGGTAGATAGGTAGGTAGGTAGTAGGTAGGTAGATAGACAGATAGATGGATTAGAGGAATCATAGATAGATAGATAGATAGATAGATAGATAGATAGATAGATAGGATAGATAAGCTAGAGATAGAGAGAAAGAGAGAGAGATAACTAGAGACAGATAAGAGACAGAGGCAAATAGATTTAAATAAATATAGATGAGATAGCTAGATAGCCAAACAGACAGACAGACAGACATAGATAGATACCCTGTTTTCCCCAAAATAAGACATTCCCTGATAATAAGCCCAATTGGGCTTTTGAGTGCATGGCAATAAGGCCAAGCGCTTATTTCAGCGTTCAAAAAAAATATAAGGGTCTTATTTTTGGGGAAACACAGTAGATATATAGATATAATTTTATGTCATTTTATTCCATTTTATATATTTATGCATTAAATTATATTGTATCTTATCCTATAATGATTGTATTTTACCCTACTCTTATTTTAAATTGCTTGTTTAAGATTTTATTGGCGATATTTATACTTGCACCTTGTGCTTTGATACGGTCTATATAGGCTAATCAAAGCTATCATGTTAAGCTGTATTTTATTCCAATTTCATTTTAAATCGTGTTCTATTCCAATTTCATTTTAAATCGTGTTCTATTCCAATTTCATTTTAAATCATATTTTATCCAATTCCATTTTAAATTGTTTTTTTATCAGATTTTAGCAATAATTTTTGTGTCTGCAACTCTGCACTTTGATATGGCCCAAGGGCTAATCGATAAAGTTAAGTATATAGATATATATTTGACACGACATACACAGACAAATCGCCTGCAAAAATGAAGCCTAACTTTTTAATCATGCAGGAGTGATCTTGAATATCTTGAATTTTATCATGACCATCTAACCATCTAGTTTCCTCCTTCAACATTTTTTTTTTTTTGCTTCAACAATCAGGAACAAACGAAAAGAATGCAAACTGCCTGCCAAAATTTACTTTCCTGGACTTTGTGTGCACCTGCCACTGCAAAAGATCATCCAATCTCTACCCCCACCCCAAGGGAGAACAGCTCACTCCCCCCTTACTCATAAAGGTACGTGGTGGTGGGGGAGTTTCCCCAGCCTGAAGGAAAAGAGGAAACAAACACAATGAGGTGGAATTAAAATCAAAAGCCCGATTGGGCTTATTTTTTTATTTATTTTTTATTTGATTTATTTGATTTATATGCCGCCCTTCTCCAGAGACTCAGGGCAGCTTACAGTGCGTTAAACAATAGCCTTCATACTTTTGTATATTTATACAAAGTCAGCTTATTGCCCCCACAAACTGGGTCCTTATTTTACCTACCTTAGAAAGGATGGAAGGCTGAGTCAACCTTGAGCCTGGCGAGATTCGATCTTACTTTAATTGCAGACAGCTGGTGTTAAATTACAATGCTTCTGTCTGTTGAGCTAAACCAGGCTCCTATTATTATCGGGGGATGTCTTATTTTGGGGAAAACAGGGTATCTATCTCTCTATCTCTCCCATATCTCTCTATCTCTCTATCTATCTATCTATCTATCTATCTAATCTTCTCTCCCTCTAATCCGTCCGTCCGTCCATCCATCCATCCATCCATCCATCCATCTAATCTTCTCTCCCTCTAATCCATCTGTCTGTCTGTCTGTCTGTCTGTCTATCTATCTATCTATCTATCTATCTATCTATCTATCTATCTAATCTTCTCTCTCTAATCCATCTGTCTGTCTGTCTATCTTCTCTCCCTCTAATCCATGTCTGTCTGTCTATCTATCTTCTCTCCCTCTAATCCATCTGTCTGCCTGCCTGCTGCCTGCCTACCTACCTTCTCTCCCTCTATGTCGTCTGTCTTGTCTGTCTGTCTGTCTGTCTGTCTGTCTGTCTATCTATCTATCTATCTATCTAATCTTCTCTCCCTCTAATCCATCCGTCTGTCTGTCTGTCTGTCTGTCTATCTATCTATCTAATCTTCTCTTCTCTAATCCATCCATCCATCATCATCTATCTATCTATCTATCTATCTATCTATCTATCTATCTATCTTCATCATCTATCTGTCTGTCTGTCTATCTATCTATCTATCTATCTATCTATCTATCACTATCTATCTATCTATCTATCTATCTATCTATCTATCTATCTATCTAATCTTCTCTCCCTCTAATCCATCTGTCTGTCTATCTGTCTGTCTACCTACCTACATACCATGTTTCCCGGAAGCCTAACTTTTTAATCATGCAGGAGTGATCTTGAATATCTTGAATTTTATCATGACCCTCTAACGATCTAGTTTCCTCCTTCTACATTATTTTGGTTCAACAATCAGGAACAAACGAAAAGAATGCAAACTGCCTGCCAAAATTTACTTTCCTGGACTTTGTGTGCACCTGCCACTGCAAAAGATCATCCAATCTCTACCCCCACCCCAAGGGAGAACAGCTCATTCCCCCCTTACTCATAAAGGTACGTGGTGGTGGTGGAGTTTCCCTAGCCTGAAGGAAAGGAGGAAACATACACAATGAGGTGGAATTAAACAGCCTGCATTTTCCCACGGGGTTATTTACCCATTTTAACTGTCTCTAAAATGAAATTGAAAGCTAACTTGGAAATAAAGATTAAAAAAAAAAAATCTGGCCAGGAACTAACAGGTAGTCCTCAACGTACGACCACCACCGAGCTCAAAAGTGAGGTCGTCAGGTGAGAAATTTGTGAAGTGGAGCTTGCTCCAATTTTTCCGACTTTTCTCGCCCTGTCTGTTTTAGTGAATCCACGCAGGTCTTAAATTAGCAACACGGTCGTTAAATGAAATGGGCTTCCCCCTCTCCCCCCCCACATTGCCAAAGGGGATGGTGCAATCCCGTCATAAATGTGAGTCGGCTGTCAAGCATCCGAATGCAAGTCACGTGACCACAAGGATGCTTCCGTCGGTCGTAAGTGTGGGAAAAAAAAGGTCACCAGTCCCTTTTTTTCAGTGAAATGGTCACTAAATGAACTGTTGTAAGTTGAGGACGTATAATGGCTGTTAATTGATGGTTCCACCTTGCAATGAACATCATGATAAATTAACAAGGCAAAACAAAAAAGTTGGTAAAACTGAATAAAGATACGGCAATTATCAAGTTAACTCCTTACTGCTGTCTAAACCGTTTAGATGCTGTAATATTCCATCAGCTCCCAGATTTCCTATGCAACGCAGACAATCACTGAGGTCTAGAAGCTTAGAAGCTCACCAAGGATTTTACTGTGCATTTTTTTTTCAAACAGGGTACAACGATCATGGGATTGTGAGACACCTTCCTAAGTGCAATAGGCACCTCCAAATCAGGAGCACTTGGCTACAATTACCCATTCGTGAACCAAAGGCACTCTGCACGTGCCCAGAGGCACTGTTGTCTAATCAACAGGCAAACCTTTCTCAAAAGCTGGGCCTGAAACAGACCATATTCTTCAGTAAATAAGTGGATACACAACATGACAGACCCTGATCTGCTCTACATACGAACGAGAAAACGAACAAACGAACAAACTAACTAACTAACTAACTAACTAACTAACTAACTAACTAACGATATAAAAGATGTTGAGACTTTGGAAAAAGTGCAGAGAAGAGCAACTAAGATGATCAAAGGCCTGGAGACTAAAACATAGGAAAAATGGTTGCAGGATTTGGGTTTTGGGTAGTCTAGAGATAAGAAGGACTAAGAGGGACATAATAGCAGTATTCCGGTATTTGAGGGGCTGCCCCAAAGAAGAGGGGGGTCAAATTATTCTCCAAAGCACCAGAAGGCTGGACAAGAAGCAACGGATGGAAACTAATCAAGGAGAGAAGCAACCTGGAACTAAAGGAGAAACTTCCTAACAGTGAGGACAATTAACCAGTGGAACAGCTTGCCACTAGAAGTTGTG